ATTTCAATGTCACGTGCACTGTCTTTGGGGAATCAGAAATTGCTGTCGATTTCATGTGGGAATATCCAGGACAGCAAGTAGGTAACAGGTTGCTGATGGGGTGAGTGGGTGTGGGATAAGAAAAGTGGCTTGTACTGTAACAGTACGGGTCTTTTAAGCCCGTCTCCTTTCCTGCTGATCTGTGGAATTCCCCCTTAGAAATTGAACAAAGGCTAGCCAAACCCACAAACCTAGCCAATGAGAGTGTACAAAGCCAAGCTGAATAATGATTGGCCTGACCTCCTCAAATGAGTAGGCCAGAGGCAGAATGAAAACACAGATTGTTCCTCTGCAGATAAACACCAGGCAGCCTTGTCATGCGGTTTGCTTGCCCCTGAATAATTTCCAAGTTACAGGAGTGGGTGCCGCTAGAATTCCACACACTGGGAAAAGCCACTGCTAAACTCTCTTGTGCACTGACTACCATGTGGTCTGCCATGTTTCTCAAATAATGTCCTTTCTCACTTTCAGATTGGCAGACCACCCTACGTTCGCGAACGCACAGATTTGGTGCGACGTGGTGGGCAGGTGCAGCAGGAATCCGAGAGCATCCTTTACGTTGATGAAGCACGTGCTGTGGATGATGGTTTGTACACCTGCACTGCTGAAAATCTGCAAGGAGGCACTGCAGTGTCCACCCGCATTCGCTTGGTTCCAGCCTCACCAGCCCCGAAGAAGGCAAAGTCTGGGTAACCGCCTCTGGTCCTGCATTGCTGAAAGTCCAGGTCCTACTGGAAATCCAAAGACTAGAGGCTGCCATCAAAAACTGAGGGATAAACAGTTGCCAGTGTGGTGTAGTGGTTAAGAGCGGTAGTCACGTAATCTGGGTAACCGGGTTCGCGTCTCCGCTCCTCCACATGCAGCTGCTGGGTGACCTTGGGCTAGTCACACTTCTCTGAAGTCTCTCAGCCCCACTCACCTCACAGAGTGTTTGTTGTGGGGGAGGAAGGGAAAGGAGAATGTTAGCCGCTTTGAGACTCCTTAAAGGGAGTGAAAGGTGGGATATCAAATCCAAACTCTTCTCTTCTTCTTCTTTTATTTTGTCCTTTACTCTTTTCATGCTTGACTCATTAAAGTAGCACGAATCTTTTTGAAGCAGAGGTAGAGTACCTTTTTGCTCGCAGGGATATTGTGAAAGACAGGAAAACGCTCAAAGATATTCATGACTATTGCCAGGAAAATGCTATCTTGGGAATTCTGGCTCTGTGTGAACATCTTATTCACAGGGCCAAACAAGATTATTGAGATCTATGATCCGATCTCACCCCTCTTTAAATGTTATGTATATATCAGCCTGGAGAGACTCCAGACGGGATTGAGACCATTTGTCTGGTTACGGAGGGTTAACCCTGCAATTTTCCCAATTGAGATCCCTGCCAGCAGCTATATGCCCTGTTACGGCATATATGTGTGTACATGCAACAGCAATTTCGAAGGCAGGTACGCATGAGCAGAATTTCAGTAAGTAGGGGATTTTTGGTTTTTTTTTAAAGTGCCCCAGCACTACAGTCCAAATCTGTATTACCCACATCCATATCTACCCCGTAGGTCCTATTGGACAAAATGTAGAGCTGGGAGTTCTTGCCATCTCATCTCCTCTGGCCTTTGTGGAGATGGTAAAATCTTTATCAGGTAGCAATTTGCATTACTGAATGCTTCTTTTAAAAAAATGAAAGGAAAAAAGGCCTTCACAAAGAAAACTTAAGAGAGAAAATTAGAGGTAGAACAACCAGAGATTTTCCAGGAAGGCACTTGAAGTCATTTTGGCAACATCAGTCTATTTTATTTTATTTTTATGACTTTACCCAGTTGTTTATGATGTCCATTTTCATCTGTACTTCTTAACTGGGTCTAAGTAACAAGTTCCAGGGTGCCTGTTTTCCCTCTCTAGGTCTAAGTAGCCAATTTTAGGTGCAGGCCCAGTGATTTTCCACTGAACTGAAATGCTCTTCACTATAAAGTTTTTTACTAGAGGCTGCAGAGTCTTCAGAAGCATCACCCATCAGGGAAGGGTGTTTAAATTCTTTGGCTTGGATCCAAGTGTTCCATGCGTGTAGCAGTGGGCTCCTATAAACCATCTCCCCAGACTAAATAGCCAGATGGAGTAGTCAGGGCTGTATGTACACAGTTGTGCAGGTCCCAAGCATGTACTCAGATGTCCTGCTTAATTCAGAAGGCCCCACCTTCTATTGCATATGTGTAGGACCATAGCCATAGGAAGCTTGCAGTTACATGTTGGGAGGCGACTGAGAGAACAGCTTTCAGTCTCCCCCTCCCATTTCTCATGACCTCCCCACCCCCCTTTCTGCAAGAGCACACACACACACACACACACACACACACACACACACGACATTGTTGCCAACAATCAGCATCACCCTGCAGTCCCATAATCAGGAAAGAAGGATATGTACCAGGGGACCAAGAAATAAATCAAGAGGTTATGAGGATGGCAGAGAAGGAGGCCAAACATCCCCCCCCCCCTTATAAAGAACAAGTATACTTCAGAAATGGGAGGGAAAGTACATTTCATTCATTTGTACGCTGCAAGAAAGTACATTCATTTTGCAACACTGGAAAATTTCCACCAGGCACCATTTTACAACTTTCTCATGCTATTGCAGCAGGCTGAATAATATAATAATAAAACCTGTTATCATTAAGTGAACAGAAACACAAAACACCCATCCCTGTTTGCTAACATAGAAATGAGAGAGCCAATGCCTGGATCAGATCCCCAAAGTCTCATCAAAATAAGCACCCTCCTTTGTTAATAACTGTAAACAGAGCTCCTGCCCTTTGTCTCCTTTGCTAAGGCATACTTCACGTATTTCATTAGCCAGTGATTTCAAGGCGCGCTTCTATGACGGAGGCTGCAATCCTCTACACACTTACCTGGGTGTAAGAATCAGTGAACTCAAGGGGGCTTACTTCTGAGTATACACTTTTAGGCTTATCCACTGGCCGCCTTGCAAAGTATTGAAAGCTGACATAAGTAATGGAGTGGGTCCTCTATTCTTCTGAAAAACAAGTGAGAGGTTTTATTCCTGTCATCCTTTCTTGGCCTGCTTCCAGATCTGATTCTGGACTGAGTGGTTGAAGGCTTACAGTAAGAAACACCTTGCCTGATGGTGGCCACTACAACAGGTGAGTCAAGAAAACCAGCTCAATAGATTGAAAGAGCCACCTGGTTAATGCTACTCTATGCTATTTGTATCACCTCTTAAAGGTACCTGGCAGGGTTTGGATCTGGTGTCATCTTTGGCTCCCTTCAGTGGGACTGCAGAGCCTTTGGGGAGTTTCTCTCCTGAGAACTGTTGGCTCAGAAGTCATCTTCTTCTGTGCTGCTTCACTTCCAGGAAGAGTTGGTAGAGGTGCCTCTGCAGGCTGTCTCAGGCCTTCAAGTGCTCTGGGCATTATGCCTCTGAATACCATTTGTTGGAAATCACAGGTGGGCAGAGTGCGGTTGTGTTCATGTCCAGCTTGAGACTTCTCACAGGCATCTGGCTGACCACATGAGAACAGGATGGAGGACTAGATGGGTCATTGGCCCTACATTCTTTCAGCTGGCTAGAGGCAACCCCCCAAAAAAGTGTTGTTATTGCCCTTTCCCCCCTCACAAGTCCTCTGAGACATACAGTGCAGACCCAGCACTACAGTCACCAGGGCCGTCTTTAGCAGATGCAGCGCCGGGGTGCAAATATCCGCCCAGCACTCCCAACTTACCACGGATAGTGTTGGGGTGGCGATAGCTGCACACTGCCAGCCATGGGGGGGCTGGCGCAACTCTCCCCCATGCCACTGTGGAAGAGCGATCCCCGCAGAGGCTTGGGAGGGAAGCTGCGCGCCTGCCAGCCTTATGGTTGGTGAGGTGCAGCTGGCGGGCATGCAGGGAAAGGGGAGGCTGCGGGCAAAGTTGCGCAGCTCCCCCACTTGCTGGGGTGCCCTTGAGAGGCTGGCGCCCTGGCGCGACGCACCACTAAGCCCTATGGGAAAGACAACGCTGACCATCACATCTACATCCTATGTTCAAACCATTCTTACACAAGTTTTTGTGAAGATTCCTGGGAACTGTAGTTTGTTAAGGGTGCTGCTGGTTACCATAGGTCTGTGTGGCCAGCACCCTTAACAAACTACAGTTCCCAGGATCCTTTGGCGAAAACCATGGCTGTCGTCTAAGAGTGCTTCAAGTGTATGGTGTGGATAGATCTAAAATTTTGGACATCTTTGGGAAAGGGTACGTTGGTGAGGCTCTGTGGTCCCAATAGCCTACAATAGTGAAACAAGAAGAGTAGTTACCTTTTCCCAACCCCTGCTGCCACTACAAGTGACACATAACATGCTCAGCAGTGCTTACTCTCTGAAGAAGTGAGTTGTTCAGGGAGAGGGTGAGCAACCTCCTTGCATTCGCAGGGCTATATGAAGTTTTGTCTGAGGAAGGGCATAGCTCAGTGGTTGAAAGCATCTACTTTACACACAGTAGGTCCCAGGTTCACTCCTTAACATCTCCAGGTAGGACTGGGAATGTTTCTACTCCGAGGGCTGCTGCCGGTCAGTGTAGACAATATTGAGCTAGATGGACCAATGGTCAGACTTCTTATAACACATCTTCCCAAGTTCTTTATGCCAAGTCGGATTACTGGTCCATCTAGTCCATATTGCCTATTCTGACTGGCAGCATCTCTCAGGTAAGGATCTTTTCCATTCTGACTACCTTTACCTGGAAACTGGGATTGAATCTGGGCCCTTCTGCATCCATGTGCTTTTCGACTGACACAATAGCCCTCCCATGCCTCAGAATTCCTTTAGCAGCACTAAGGCCAGATCAGAAAAGTGCTGGCATTAACTACAGTACCAGAAACTCGGTCACTTCGATTATTTCCACCCCCTCTGCCAATTCCCTAAAATCCACACAGAATTTGCTTCATAACTTACATAATAAATGCAAAAGAGAGAGAAAATCACTTTAAAAAAATAATAAAGCGGGTGAGAGGTTTTCACCAACACACACATATGAGATATTTACTGTGATCACTAGTTAGCAGTTTCTCACTCCCACTTATCATCACTCAGTCATACACTAGTGACAGATTTTCCAACTGATACCATACCGAAATTTTGTGGAAAGCCTCAATTAGATACAAGCTAGCTGTGTTTCTCCAAGATAAAACCATTTCACCGCTGCAGACAGAGCTGCATTATATGTGAGGAATGACAAATAAAGGTTTGCCAAGACTGAGGGTTGGGTGGGATCCAATTGTTGGTTGCCCAAATGATGATTTCAGGAACTGAACACGTTAGCAAACAAACATCACTGTCGCCAAGCCATACTGCACAAGCAGAACCCACGCCTTTGAGCTAGGCCTCCACAGCTCGCAACCCACTGGCTGTGACGCAGCCCACCGGCTGTGAACAGTCTCCTAGTTCTGTCATCTATCAGGTACTTCAAAAATGGGTGTGTGCATGTCTCTGTGGGAAACACCTGGCTGACCACCAGACACACCCAGCGTTCGGCTGGGTGGCCCACACGTTGCAGAGATCTGTGTGACGTTCTCTCAAGGTAACAACCAGCAGTTCACTGGTTTTTCCTGAGCGTCACTACTGCTATGTGCCACTGTTTTTGCACTACATGCTACATTCACATACACAGTACAAACCACCGTTTCCACGCAGGGAAGTATAAAACGCTTCTTGATTAGAATCAAGACATTTTACATGCCCTTTGTCTCAATTCAAATCATCTTTTCTTTTTTAAAACAAAAACCCATAAAATAACCATTACGTGCACCTGCTATCTATTTAGCCTCTAGTTTCTCCAGCCTGGAGCAACTTCTGTTTCTCTGCAACTACTAGCACTGCTTCATCACAACCAGTGGAGGGCACCAGCTTCCTTTTCAGCTTCTCAAGAAGCTAAATTGCTTTTTTAAAAAAGAAAAAAAAATCCCTTGGTTTCCAAAGGCTTGCAATTTTAAGGCCATTTCCAATCTGTTGTTTTCTAAACTGACAAAGAACTCATAAAAGCAGGCAAAAATACCTTCTATTGAAAAAATATTTTTTTTGAAAGGAACCGAGCCCAAGGAGGTGTCCGTTCAATTCTCTCCCAAGGCGTGTCAGCAGCTGCTTATCTGATGCAGCAGTTTCAACACGGAAATGATGGCAGCCATGTGGGCAGGGATTGAACACATCATGGAGGAGGGTATGTAAGGAGGGATTATGGTCATCGAGCAGAGAAAATGACACAGCAGAGTCATTTTCTGGAGAGAGAGAAAGTTCTCTTAGCAACACAGGAGCTGATAAGTAGCTCCTTTGTGACTGGGCGAACATCTAGAATGGACCTCAACCACAGAAGTTTGTATCCATATTTTTGCCTGAGTTCTCAAAGTTTTGCATTTAGGAATCAAAATGCAATCAGACCAAAACAGTTGTGGGCATGCAAACTTTGGTTCCTCCAAAACCTGGCAGATGAAAGGACGTTCGGATCTGGGCCTGCGCCTTCAAACTTCCATTGCCTCTCTACTCTCCTATGACTTCTTCTCACCTACAGCTTTTTCTACTGAAATCTTAAATTATGGGTCACTCGGATTCCCACCGTATCTCCGCCATTTCTACCTTGGCCCAATATATATGAGGTAGCAAGTCTTGCTACCTCCCTGAGGGGGTGGGGTGGGGCAAGACCCTTAGTCAGTGCTTAGTGGCATACACAGAAATGTCTTGGCTAGCATTAAAGCTGACCTCTTTTTGTGTGTGAGGGGATGCGGAGTAACCCCCCCCCCATTCCTAAGGCAGGCCAATTCAACCTCTTCAAGTGTCACAAAACAACGAGGCCACCTATGGGAGAAAATCAAAGCACACAGAACCTCCGGAAGCTTCCTTGCACCCGAGTGCCACTCAGCATGAGAGTTCTAGGTCTAGTTGACAATAGAGAGGCCTAGAACAAAAGGAAGGAGCCACCTCTCCCCTCCCTGCCCCACCCCAGTCTTTCTGGCCTATCCGAATGCTACGTAGCGATGAGTGTTGCCTCCGTGGAGATAGGGAACGGGTGGGGAGAGTCACCATTCAGCACTCGGTACAGCAGCTCTTCCTTCTCCCGGTGAGCTTGTGCTCGCAGCTGCGACTCCTTCTCCAGGGACTCGCGGAGAGTGAGGAGCTCGTCGGACAGTTGCCTGCAGGGCAGAAGCACAGAGTCAAATGACTTTGGAGTCCTAGAACCAGTGGAGAGACAGGGGCTGGTGGGACCAACTTGGACATGTAGCAGGCAACTGCGTTTCCCCTCGTCTTCATCCCCAAGTGTTTGCCGCTATGGAGACAGGAGGGAAGACTCCCTCTACTGAGATCAAAATGACAATCACAACACCCCCAAGTGGGGCCTATGGGGAGGGGAAAGTCCATATTGGTGCCAAGCTTTGTGGAGGGACCAATCTCCATTCAGGCCCCAGGGGGGAGGTGAAGAGATATGGCTCCCCTTCCATAGAGCCCCTGCTTCCCATAGGCTGTCTTCACAATGGGAATCAGGCTCCCTTGCCCCTGTAAGTAAAAAATGAACACATAGCAGGCAGCTACACATCTTAACTGAGTGGCCCTCAGTTTTCATCATGAGCACTTTCTCACCTCGGTCAAATGAAGTGGGAAGATGTAATACTGTGGGGAAATGTAATGGTATTGAAATTGGGTATGGGGAACATGAAATGCACACACTACAAATGTTCAGAAAAATGCTTTTATAAACCACCAAAGACTCCCTTAATTGAGCCCTTTCTTTCTTTCTTTCTTTCTTTCTTTCTTTCTTTCTTTCTTTCTTTCTTTCTATAGCAACTTTTCCAATCACAATAGCACACTGACACAGGAAGTTGAGCAGGAAGCCCATCAGAGAAGAGGTACTCTCTAGCACAAAGATTTGTTACTGTGGTAGCTGGTTTGACACTGCCACAGCTATGCTGTCTGTGCTGATCCTATTGCTGTTGTTGTAATTATTATTTTGATTTATAGGGTTTCTTACCCACCCTTCTCTAGAAGGCCCCATGGTGGATTAAAGGTAAAGGTACCCCTGCCCATACGGGCCAGTCGTGACCGACTCTAGGGTTGTGCGCTCATCTCACTCTAGAGGCCGGGAGCCAGCACTGTCCGCAGACATTTCCGGGTCACGTGGCCAGATTGACGAAGCTGCTCTGGCGAACCGGCACCAGAGCAGCACACGGAAACGCCGTTTACCTTCCTGCTAGTAAGCAGTCCCTATTTATCTACTTGCACCCGGGGGTGCTTTCTAACTGCTAGGTGGGCAGGAGCTGGGACCGAACGACAGGAGCTCACCCCGCCGCGGGGATTCGAACTGCCAACCATGCGATCGGCAAGTCCTAGGCGCTGAGGTTTTACCCACAGCGCCACCCGCGTCCCATGATGGATTACAACAATATAAAAACACAATTATTAGCATCAGTTAGAACAATGTACAGTCTGGGCTGCATCTGGTTATGCAGGACAAGCACGCTGAATCTAGGTCCTGACCCATAGGCTTTCTCTGGGCCCGCTTTAGGTGCACCGTCCCAAGGGCCCTTCACCAAGGTGAAGTGGGAAATAGGTAGATGCTTACTGCAGCTGAAGGTCTCACCTTGTCACTGCCATGTGGTTCTGCATCCGAACTTGGAGATCTTCATTCTCCTGTTGAAGGGTTTTAACTTTCTCCTCGAGCAACAAATTTCTCTCCATCTGTAAGCAAGCCAAGGGTGTGATCAAACACCAAATGCAATTGCAACACAGTTCACCCCAGCTACAGGTATTCCACGCATGCAATAACATCAAGTAATCTCCCAATTACGGTAGGTATTTTAAAACTTTGTGGGAACATGTCTGCATGGAACCCCCTTCTTATTAAATATGTTGGAGGTTCTGTCACTCGGGAAAGTCTGCAAGAGGCACCAAACCTGATGTCTGCCCTGTCTCTGATTGCTGTGGCAATGTAGGCTTTTATGTAGTCTCTGCCAGTTCAGGCTCATGTATCTCTTTTAGTTCAGAGCTATCTACCCATATGATCCATCTACCAAGAAGAACTTCAGTAGTACAGCAGAACCCCAGTTTGTTTTTCAAGAGAGTTGTAGTTGCCCACCTCACTTTACAAGCAACTGAGCTGCAGTGGTGGCCATTTTGGGCCAGTAAGCATTTTCTGAACATGGAATTGCTTCCGTCAAACACAGCCATGCTCCATTCACCTAGATGTTTCTTCCCACAGACCTTAAAGGATTAATACACCTATAATCAAGTTTTGTCTTAGAACACTCTTTGGTCCACTCCAGACATCCTTCATCCATGATGATTTGTGCTCATGATGCTATCAGGAGAGTTTAATCCTCCCTCTTCTGCTGTGGTCCCAACAAAAATTCCCCACCTGAAGTGGCTAGTTGCACTGGAAAGGATGTTTCCACACTGGTGTTGATGGGAGTTTCCCTCCCAGGATAACAGCTTCCAAGAAAGTGGCCAATATTGTTGGGATAGTAACAGGATGGGGAAGCATATGAAATGAACCCCAAGTCTTCTCATGCATTATGCTCCTAATCCCAATTAAAAGAACATTCTCCACAGCTGCTATCCACATTTGAACCCACAATTGTGAATTTCAATCAAGACACTTAGCACTGTGTGTAACTTGGCCCTGGTCTTGGATGTTGGTCTTGCTGGGGGGGGGCAGTTTAAAGGCCAGGATGCAGGACTTGGAATGTGTTGTCTTCTGCAGGGAGCCACAGAAGTCTGGTGATCGGGGTTCTGAAGAGTTTGTGGCCCTTCAGATGTTATTGGGATTCCAACTCCCATCAGCCCCAGCTGGTATAGCCAATGGTCCGGGATGATGAGCTATGTCATCCCCAGACAACTGGAGGGTCACAGGTTCTCCATCCCTGCTCAAGAGAAAGTGTTTGTGGTACTCAGAAATTTGCGAGTTTTGAACGGCAGACCACAAGGTCCTCTTTGCAAGACCCCACCAAGTCTTAGGAATAGCTATGAAAATGAGTACATTGAACCCACCACCGTTTCCAGGTTGAGCAGCTTTTTGTCCAAGTTGTGAATGCGTTCATTCTTCATCTCAATGACAAAATGTAGACTCTCTAGTTCCTGTTCCCAGAACTGGCTGGGACTCCCATAATCCTAGAAAACAACAGGGGAAATGTCAAAATGCACCCTTAACTAGAAAGCTGACAAAGCAGATCTTCACGGAGAATCACATTAACAACAACAACAATTTATACCCCACCCATCTGACTGGGTTTCTCCAGCCACTCTGGGCAACTTCCAGCAAAATATAATAATTCATCAAATATTAAAAGCTTCCCTAAACAGGGCCGCCTTCAGATGTCTTCTAAAAGTCAGATAGTTATTTATTTCTTTGACATCTGGTGGGAGGGCATTCCACAGGGTGGACGCCACTACCAAGACTACATCCAGGGACTCACTGTCTCCCCAGTCATGTGAGAGACTAGGCCTACAATTCTAGATCCTATGGTTGGGAATAAACTCCATGGAACTCACTGGGATGTCTCTCTACACATGATTAGAATTGCACTACAAGGGCTAATTTGGTCATGCAAGTACATTATTCAATGACTTAGAGATTAGTGAGTGCACCCCCTCCACTGGGAAGCACTGCATTGAACAATGTTCTCCTTGTGGTGGTTTGTTCCATTACAACTGCTTTCACACATTCAAGTCATCAATCCATGTTGCATTCATTGGGTGAGAGATCAAGTATTGCTTTCACTTGTAGAGGTGTCAAGTGGACTTTATTTGTGCTTAGAACAGAAGTAGGGGTAAGCACTCTCCTCTTTCCAATTTTTCTGTTCAATAAGCGTTGTTCTTTGGACCCATACATTGGCCTGGTTTGCACATCACGCTAAGGACTCATCCACACTTCCATTTGCCCTGCTGCTTTCCTCTTGGAAAATCCACTGTTTACTGCCAAATCAGAGCAAGCATCTATCAGATTTAGAGCTAATGAGTGCATTTTCCATGGGATGGTGGAGCAAAGGCAAAACTGCTTGAACCAGTTCCTAGAAAGCATGGGAAAAGCAGAGAACCACTTGGACCTCTACTTTCCAAGCATGGGACAAGCATAAGTGTGGACAAGCCCTAAGTTGAACCACAATTTAGCTGGGATGCACAAGCAGGGATTATCATGGTTGCTCTGCTCCTCCCTGGTTTGTTTTGCTACTATGCTGAGCTAAGCTATGGCTTGGCTTAGCAGGTTTCCTGAAACCAGGGTCATGGTTTAGCTCCCATTGACAAACTACAAGCCAAAAACCATAGTACAGGCTTTGGTTCCAACTTAGAGTTAGTCTAGAGAGAGCTAAATAAGTCCCGGTTCAGAGGACACACTAAGCCAAGCCATGGCTGAGCTCAAGAGTGATCAAGGAGGAGCAAAGCGGCCACGATCTCCTCTCTAGGAGCTCACACACTCGCACGTTTATGTTAAACCATGGTTTGGCTTAGCATTGCATGTGAACTATGCCACCCATCATTATCTTTGTTTTCCCAGCAGTGAGAGAAGGAGGTAACATGTGTATCTTGATTAATAAACAGGTGGAGAAATCCCATCTAACTGATCGTGGCTGGTTTTGTTTTCTGGCACCTGGATATGTTTCTTATAATCTCTGCTCAGGATTGACTCTTCCACCCGTTTCATTTTCTCTTGGAAGGACTTCATCTGGGAACTCAATCTGTCTACAGTCTCCTGGAGAAGAAATATGAGGCAGAATAAATCGGTGCTCCAGCAAGCATACTCACCCCACCACCCTGAACACGTGTGCACTATTCTGTATGCATTAATAACATTAATTATATTCCAACACATTTTAGTGGGTTTATAGCCAGTAGCAGATATAACTCCTAATGGCCAGGTAGCTATTAAATCCAGCAGGTCCCAGCCAGGATGACCCGGAATTATAAGTCCACAAAATCTGGAGGGAACCATGTTGGCTGCCTCTGACTTGGAGCATATACAGAGTGGCAGCACCTGCAAAGATGACTGGGACTTTTGGTAGGATTCGGTCAGGAGCACTTTCTCTTCGTCATGTGCTTTCTGGAGTTCTGCAAGAGAAACAACAGACTGTGGTCAGAAGAAACCAATGAGAGACACAAGCCCTGCTGCGATCTAGCCAGGGGTTCTCTTCAATACACAGCTGAGTACTAACACATCACACTGTTTGTCTCAAGAGTATATTCAGAGAACAAGGAGGACAGAACGTGAATGGAACTCAGTCTTGAAATCTTTGTGGTCATGTCTCTCTTCCTTCATTTGCACGTAATTCTAAGCCAAACCAAATGAGCAAATCCTGCACGATCACTCCCAGACAAACTACAAGTGGCAAAACCGCAATTTCAACATGTGGTCTGCCTGGAGAGAGCTAAACCAGATGATGGGACACTAAGCCAGGCCATGCCTTAGAGCAGCACAGCAGCAGAAGCACTAGGAAGGATTCTCGCATTCTCTCTCCCCCTCTCCCTCCTTCTGACAGAGATGCTCAGCATTTAGACAGAGAGGAAGTGAAAAATTAAATACGCGACATGAATATGGAGTACCCAGCAGAGGATTGAAGCTTAACAATGGAAAATTGATTTAGGAACATGTTACAACATGGCATTGCTGAAAGGCAGGATGGGAAAAGTAGAGTCTCATGGGCACACAGTATTTTAGCAGTGGCATTGCCTCTTCTTGCAATGCATCTATGACCAAAGTATTTCCAGAAGCCACAAATTCATTAATGACACTAACATTTAGTAGCTGGGAGCCGAGCACTTGGCGTGCCATTATTTCTGTAATCCCTCCTCTGGTCATTCGCTTTCCTCTAGGCACTTGCTGTCTTTATTTCTTTTGACAATCTACTTCCCGATTTGAAGATGCTTACCATCATACTGCACGGAGGGCACTTTCTTTCCCCATCCATGTTGCTGCTACTACAGCGGCGTAGCATGGGTTGCTGGTGCCCAGGGCAGGCAGGGCAAGTGAGAAGGTGAACGGAGCCTGCATCCTACAGGCTCCTCACCCGCTGCCTCCATCTGCCTGCCCACTAGACCAACCTGCCTGCTGCCACACCTCAGCTGCCAGAGCTCCATGCCAGTCATGGGGGTGCCTGGTTGCACCCCCTCAAAAATGGTCCGCTGCCCCCCACGCTACACTTTTGCCACTTTCGAAAAGGGGAAGCAGATTGTGGCGAGTGGGGCACAGCAAGGGAGCCATGAGGAGGCAACAACAGTTCTGGGAATGCCCATGAACAAGTTCTTTCACACCTGGCCCAGTGGTGCTACAATGCCAACATAAAGCTCACCAAGGGAGGGAGCAGAAGTAACTTCACCAATATTTGCTGTAGAAATGAGTTTCCAAACAGCACGTAGATTAGGCCTCCATCACCAGGGTTGAGGGTCAGGAGCGGCCTACTCAACACTGTAGTGAGATTTGCATACCATAGCGCAGGGGTGGGGAAACCACAGTTCTCCATATGATGTTAGGTACTGTAGGAACTCCCATTGTTCCTGACTGTCCAACAACATCTGGAGGACCACAGGTTTCCCAAGTGCTTTGATGCAAACGGAACAAAGCTTACATGTTTTGCAAGCAGGTTTTTTGGCTCTCACCTCGGAGTCTCTCTTCCTGTTCTTTTTTCAGCAAGTCATGCTGCTCAGAGAGTTGTTGCTTGCATTGTAAATCCTTCTCCTTTTCTATCTGTGGGTGGGGGGGAAGGCACAGGCAATATTGCAATATTGTTAACAAATAATACTTTACTGCCAGCATTCTGCATGATACTTCACATCTCACACAGAGGAGTTTACATCATTTTAAGGCTGGAGACAGGCAGCAGTGTTCAAGGGGCCTGATTGAGAAATGCTAGCAAGATGCATTGTTTACTGACTGTGGTGTCCGCACAGGGAAGTCACCCCCTTATTGCTTCTAGTCAAAGAGGGTGGGCAGGTCTCTGAAGCATGACAATAGTGGCAAAACCCCGTTTGACGTGAGACTATTGCAGGGCATGCCTACACCTCATGGGAAGAAACAGAGTGGTGTAGTGAGTGGACCATCAGTCTTGGATTGAGAAGTCAAATCTCTGTTCATCCAGTGACCTTGGGCCAATCACTATCTCTCAGTCTATGGGATGGTTGTAGAGTGTGGATATCAAGATGGAGCTGGGGGCACTCATGGTTGCAATTTTGAATGCCTCAAAAAAAGATGGAGTTAAAACTAATAATTTGATCACGATGGTGTCACCTTCATCCCCCGCCCATTTTTTCCCTTTCCTCCGGCTCCATATCAAACTGGAGAACTGGAATACAGAAATAATAGGGCAGAAAAAGAAAGGATCTGGATGTCAAAGATGTGATCATATGGCTAGAGCCCTATCTTATATATGTTTACTTATTCCAGTGATCTTTATTCCCAAGTAAGTGTGCAGAGGATGGCAGCCCTGCGGTACAATCCTACACATTTCTGCTCAGAAGTAACCACTTCTATGGGATTTATTCCCAAGTTAAGTGTGGAATGAGGGAATATTCACTGTTTGACCCTTTAAATTGTCATAATATGCACATATATTATGGCAAGGACCATAAGAATGAGGATTTAGTGAAAGGAATAGATGCTCTCCTACATCTGCATACCACTGTTGAACATTGGAAATGGTGGCAAACTGTGTTTCAGGGAAGCTTGTCTACCTTGCCAGTTTTCTTCTTGACAAGGCCACGATGGTCTTCCAATGCATCACCTCAGTGTTCTCTGAAGCACAGTTTGAATTCCACTGGCCTGTAGGTGATTTGGGAGGAGGTTCTAGCACACTGTTTCCTCCCCCTTTTCTAAAGTCATCCATGCTGCTGACTTGCTGCCAGAAATCTCTCAGGGTAAAAATCTGTGCAGTCCAATCTTCCATACACATTGGCTGCTGGCTGTATACATTGCTGTTCATTCTTCAAGCAAGTAACCAGGATCAAGTCAAATCTCCAGGAAGAATCTAGCACCTTCTGAGGACTTGCTGACCTATTCGTGACATACTTGGCTATGTGAGTGCCTGTTGTTTGTTGGTGCAGGTGTAAAACTACACCTAACACCTGATCCTAGCAACATTCACTCAACAGAAAGTCCCACTGTGTTCATTGTGGCAGACTCCCAAGAACATGTGCATATGATAAAAGTCCTCTTGCTAGGAATGGACAAATCAGTCTAATTCTGGTTCATGTTGCTTCCACATGTGTTCATTATTAAGTCTGTTCCACCCATTTTCTGCATTAATGAAATTCTTATTACTTATTAATGTACTTCCACTATTACAGGGTGGTCCAAGGGCTGCCTTTTAAAAAACCATTTCCCTTCTTGTTTTACAGGTACAGTCGAACCTCAGTTGTTGAACGCAATCCATTCAGCTTCCAAAATATTTGACAACTGAGGTGTGGCTTCCGATTGGTTGCAAGAGCCTCCTGCACTTAAGCGGAAGCTGTGTTGGACGTTTGGCTTCTGAAAAATGTTCGAAAACCAGAGCATTTACTTCCAGGGTTTTGGTGTTCAGGAGCCAAAACGTTCCAAAATGGAGGAGTTCGGGATACAAGCTTTGACTGTAATAGACTCTTCAAGAAAACTCAGCTGCCCCTGCAATTAGCATGCAAATATTTTAATGGGGCTGCAAATGAAATTCAAGAGAATGTGATGGCCGTGCTGCTCCTTCTAGGGATATTGTAGGCAGTGGGGAGGATGTTCGCCCTCATGGGTACATGGGGGCAGCCATCTCCCCCCCCCCATACAAAGTCCCCAGGATGGCTGCCACATCATCACATCCTGGCAGTCTCAGGGGCATTTGTGATTTCATTTTGAATGCCATCACAGCAGTAACCGGACTTTTTAGCTGCTTGGTTCAGCTGCTGCCTGCAAAGCAAGCCAGGAAACATTTTTAAAAGGCAGACCTTCTAGCAATAGTGTAAGTTAGCAAAAATCCAAAAATCTGAGGGATAAGCATGCTCTGATTTGTACAGCAGCCCAGGAGGTATGGATCGAGCCAATTCAATAGGAAAATAAACTAAGGGAATTCCTCAAGCATCTGCATCCCTCCCTGCTGAATCTTAGATGCCTAAGGATCAATCAATCAGCTACTAAAGCTACAATCATATTTGGGGAGAATAAGCCTAACCGAACACAGTGAGAGCAAAGATTTATCAGACTGAGCTATATGCATTTTGAATTTACATTTTACATTTTACAATTTACATTTTGAATTCAATACAAAATACACTCAAGATTAAATGGCAAAAAATGTGTTGTAGCACTGTACACTGTGAATGACACATGCATATTTAGATATCCAGGTCTCCCCACAAGATATTTGGAATTGGGAGCTCGACCCTTTTCTAATTTTTGCTTCTTGGGTTATTGCAGGGTGACCTAACCATTTCAATGAATGAGCTGGCACATGAATCTTGTAATTTACATTCAGGGCTTTAAAATAAATATCTGCTCAAAACCAGCACACAGGCAAGACACTGCATTTTCAGTTAGATAAGTTGGATTTTCAGGGATACCAACAGAACAGATTCAACATAAACCTTTTGAAACATGACAGCTCTTTTAAAATGGTAATATCCATTCCTTTCCCGGGGAACTTTACAATCATTAACCAGTCAATTATCTGATTTTCTGCAACATGGAAATACAGGGGTGGCCATAAACAAAATAGTATTTTTAATTATGTTGCTAAATAATTACTCGTCCACACATATGTGCAGAAATTTATCAAAATTCTATACCTGCTAACAAGACTTCAAGATCTGGTTTCAGTTAATGCTGACATTTAGTAAAGCTATGATTTAGTGGGCAATGAATTACACAAAGGCAATTGACTGTAAGATATGCTAGAGATGAGTAATATAACAGCATGGGGCAATTCTTTACCACTCATTCCCATTGTGGTTGTGCACTAGTTTAGCATACACAACAGTGTGCACCTGGTGAAGAATTAGTTGCACATTCAACTCACTGGACCTGTATGACTGTTTGCTAGCGTGTGGTTTCTCCAAACAACATTTTAGGCTCTGTAACTGTGACCCATTAGAATACTGCTCAGCAAAAGAGAAATGTCTGGTCTGACAATGAGTCAGGCATCATCGCTTCAAAAGGGCAAGAATAAGACAGCTCCAACCTGGATTTTAATGTCTTGGCTAAGTTTCTCAGTCTCAGCGCGGTGAGCTTTCTCCAGACACACTTTCTCCTCCTGGTGTTGTTGTTGGAGCCTTGTGATCTCATTTCTCTGCTTCTCCAGCAGCTCTGCCTTCCCTTTCTCTGCTTCCTCGTGTAAACAGGCTTCTTCAATGTGGAGGAAAGAAGGAGAAAGCACGTGGACATGAGTGGCTTTCTGTAGTATTGGTTTGCTTCCACCCCCCCACCCCAAGCGCTGACTGTGTAGTGCATTAGTTCCAATACCCGGCTGACTTGCCATTCAGTGTGTTAATCTAAATTTCACTTCACACTTTGGAAGGGGCAGTTTTACAAATGCAACTGACGTACTTGCATTCCAGAGGCCTCTTGAGATATATGCGCTGGAGTGTGCTAGATTTGGCCTATCCAGGATGCAGGCATGCACTATTTTTGGACTCCCTCTAGAAGAGAATTGGGGTTAAGAGCACGAGGTGTGAACTGGTTTGGTTACAGGTTTTTGTCCTAAGGGTTAATAAAGCAGTGTTTGTGGATCTGCGATGGGCTACCAGAGCTTGCTGGCCCTTTAAGTAGACCATGACCCACACCACCAGACCCTAAAAAGGCAATGAATGCTCAGAAGACTTTTGGGCATTGCCTGGAAACGCCACCTGTGGGAGATGATCACAACTGCAGAAGGATTGTGGCTGCCTTTGGAGTCAACTAATATTTGTTAAGCTATTTGGTACAGCTTCCTTATTGGGCAACTAAAACTGGTTTACGGGATTCATATTTAGCACAAAGGATGAACACAATACCATGTAAGTAATATGCATGTAGTGCTTTGAACACTTTAAATGAAACTTGCGTATATTAAGCACTTGCATCAAATAATAACATGGATGACTGATCAAACAGTTATGCTCTTTCCGATTCTAGGAGCAGCAAGATGTTTTAGGGGCAAACAGCTCGCTTGTCTCCTTTTGAATAACAGCCCTGGAGGGTTTTAGTGTTTTGTAACATCTGCATGTATTAACAAATATACAGGCTGAGCATAGATGGAGGCTCCAAAGTCTGCCGTTCTCACATCAAGGCTGCTGGCAGAACAGCCTGCATCCTAGGACAGCCCAAAGTCCCAGATCATGTCTCTTCTCTTTCTTAAAAGCTGCCGATTCACACAGCTTGCTGGCATCATCCTCAACCAAAACAAGGGTGGAAAGGTATGAGAAGACAGACATGCCCTCTTGACCCTTGCCAACTTTGCTATCCAAATTCCAGCTACTGAGAGCCATCAGCTAATCTTCTTAAAAAGGGGAAGATAGGTACCTGTCAAGATTACTCACAAACCCAGGTATTTAACAGAAAACTAGAGCTGAGCCAAAGTGTCTCAAAAGACATTTTCCTGAGAAAATTCCAGAGGGTTTACTTCCATCATCCCCCCAAAAGGGTGATCGCTTTGCAGAATTGTGGCCAAATATTCTTTGCCATTTTTTGTGGAGGCCACCATTCCTTCTCTTCCCCCTTTCCCTCCACATTCACTGCCCTGGAGCAACACCTGGGGCATTGTGGAAAATACAAAATGGTGGCCAGGCTGCCAATACTTCTTCCTGCCACTTGTGGTGGTGGTGGCAAATAGATGATAGATAGATAGATAGATGATAGATAGATATACAGGAAGGGGAAGAAGGTATTGCCACTGCTAGTGCTGAGCCCCTTCTCTGAGAAACTGTTGTAAAACTCCTCCTCCCTCTGGAGAAATTTGGTGACATGTTAAATCCAACTTGTCTGCACACAAATAAGAGAACTTTGAAAGGCCATTTCTACACACAGCTCTACAAGTAAAAACCATTCACCCATCTGAGTCAAAAATCAATGAGTTGAAAGGGACCCCAAGAGAGAGTCTGCCCTACTGCTCAACAGCTACAGGGCAGGAATGGTGCGCCCAAATTCATGGTTTGTTTTGGGACTGTATTGCTTGTAAGATCTGCACTGTGACACAGGCCAGTGTGTGCTGGTTTGTAAGCAATGCCTTTGAGAGCAGAATGTCAAGCTGGCACAGTTAGTGGAGAAATGCACAGATTACTCCTTTGCTCAAGTAATTGGAGTAAACCTTGCCACTCCAATAGTGCTATGCTCTCCCTAAAACATATCAGGAGCATAGCTGCACATTTAACAGCTATAAAGGCAGTTATACGGATAAATGTTGATTCTTTTTACATCCTCTGCTGGAACTACCCTCTCCTTCAAGATATTGCTGCTTCCCCCTCCTGACCGGACTGGACTTCACTGTTCGTTAAATGGAGGTGTTGCTTATTTAGGGGAAATTCCTTGGCTAAGTGAGACAGCGCAGCTGCCAAAACTTTAGACCATGGTCAGTTTTTCACCTCACTCAACAAATACATAATTCATCTCAATAAATTCTACCTGCCTACGACAAGTAATATCAGGACAGGCTAGTATCATGGGCATCACACAGAATGTAGACTTATACGCTGCATGGATGAAATTAGTTTCTCATAGGAATTTTAGAAAGTAATTTTATTTATGTTCCACCTGGGAGTAGCTTATGCAGATACTGCTAGCATTACTAATGCTCTGCTGTTTAGGGAGAAGCGTGCCTGTCCTGCTCAGTTCCTTGCACCTATATTGCCTAAAGCTTCAGTTTAATATGCACAGGGGAATCTATGTTATCCAGTGTTGCACAGTTGTTCCAGTCTAACTAAGCAGATCTGGATATATAAGAAACCTCCCAAACATGCATCATTTCCTGAGTCTGGGTACCACCTGTCTACACTGCGTTGCTTTTAATGAGATGCACATTTGAAAGTGAATCCCCAATTCATACTCTGGGACAGTTAGTCACTTGTAAATACCATTTTAAAATGAAACTAGAGCTGGATTTGATGGGTTGGATTTGCCTCAGATCCAGAAATCCTGGATTAAAATCCCTATTCCATGTTGAAATTTAGGGTGCTATTTTGTTTGTTTTTTTTAAAAAAAAATTTCAAATATTACAAGAAAAGAAATGTTGGCTAGCCTAACTGATTTTCCATTGCCATTTGTAAAGCCAGAATATTAAATAATCAGATTGCAGGACTGTAAAATGCTTGGTAAATGTCCACACCATCTATTTCCCTAGGATTTAATCACTGGCGATCCCGGCTGTTTAAAGCAACAAACTGGCACATCTACCCAAAACAAGTCTACTCACCAGTTAACAGTCTAGCCTGTACACATCTGTCAGCAGACCCCAGACTACATATCAAGGCAAGCTGGAAGTTCTACCAGGAAAAGATCTACTCATGAATAAGCACCTCAGTTTCCTGCTTGTCATAGCAGGTGGAAGCTCTTACCCACTGAAGGCTGGACTCATAAGTTACCATTTCTGAAGCCTTTGTTTCTGCAGCTAGATGTACCTGTCGTTACCTTTTCATGTGTTCAATCCCTTGTGAATGCATGGACCAGGAATGGTTGGGACTCTTTACATATTACCAGTGCTATTTTCCTAGAAAAACAGGTGCAGCAACCAGGGCTTTTTTTCAGGGGGAACTCACAAGAACTCAGTTCTGGCACCTCTCAGGTGGGCACTTTTGCCATTCGAAGAGGACGAGGGAGGTGTTCACAGTGGCACCTCTTTTTCTAGAAAAATAGCACTGGCTGGAACTCACTAGGAACTCACCCTTGATCCCTTATAATGGCAATGGTGCTCATCTGAGGGGTGCCGGAACTGAGTTCTTGTGAGTTTCCCCTGAAAAAAAGCCCTGTATATTATATACCTTTAAAAAATAAAATAGACATTACTGATTTTAAAATGGAGAAGCTTCAAGATGATTTATGTCTGTTTGTATCTTACCATTTTCTGTCTTCAGTGCCTTTAATTCACAGGATGCCTGTCCTCTTTCATGCTGAATTTTGATCTTTTTCTGTAGAAAAGACACAAACAGGATCACAACTCTCTCTTTTTTCCCATTTGTGAATGCTGAACCAAAACCGGGAAAGAACTACGCATTTCTGAGCAACCTTTATGCTGGCCGGTATTGGGACATTTCCTCCTGGTTTCCTGAGACACTAAAATAATTCAGCAATTCTTTGACATGGGGGCTGCGGCACAATTAAAATCTCAGCTCCTCAGGCAGACATATGACTCCCTCACCTCCCAGAGGACTGCTCTAGTGTGCCAGGAACAGCTACTGCACTGAAGGATGTTTCACAATCCACTGCCAGGCTTAATTTCTCTTAGCATGAGAACATGCCACTGTGGCAGAGGGTTGGCGGGGCAGTGCCTCGATTCACCCCAATGAACCAACTGTCTGATGGTGTGAACAGGGAAGATCTTTCTGTGGCCTCAGACACTCCTCTTTCCTGCTGCCAACTCACACGATGAAGCAGAGAGAGTTAAAAGAAAGATCCCCTCATGTCTCGGAATGTGCATAGATCATAACACCCACCCCACTCCCTTGAGATTTATGAACCTTCCTCCTCCTTCTACCTAGCTTTCTGCTTTGCATCCTTGCAGCTGGCGTTCCTGACTCCAAGCCTCCACCTTTGCAGAGCAAGGAGCACGTTGGGCCCCTCGCTCCCTCGAGGGGAAGGAACAGCTGGAAAACATGAAGGAGGCTTAAAGAACTGACAAACAAGGAGTGTGTCTGGCATCAAACTGCACAGCGCCGGGGTGTGCAGAACACACTTTCCAATGGCCTTGCCATGCACCTCCCCTTCACCCGAACTTCACACCACAGATGCCCCGTTCTGCAAGAGCAACTGGATGGTCAATCGCGACGTCAGGCAACTGGGGGAAGCTTAGTTTGCTGCTCCTGCAGATCCACAGCTCTGAGGATGCTTTTTATAGCCAGCTCTGGAGCCTAGAAATAGCCTGTTCCAGGGTGCAGAGTGAGCGCAGGAATGAGAAGGGTTTGTGTGCGCATATTTTTTAAAAAGGGGCAATAAATCACAGGCAATTACAAGGATAAAGCCCAGTCCTAATAACTCCTCCAAATATCTGGCACAAGCAAAACTCGCTTAGGCTGCCGTTCAAGCAGTTACATCATCACCCAAGGAATGCTTTGTTAGAGCGTCAACTGCTGCTACCATCCCCACTTGAGCTCTGGTCCTGTCAGAGTTTCCATCCCAGCCTCGGTTTTAAATAGGGGTTTATATAAAAATGGGATTTAGGACCTTGCTTGGTAATATGGACTTGGCAGTCCTCCTCGTAGCCCCAGGCGGGTCAAGTTTATTTGCATTAACAAGAATGGAAGAAGGAAAACAATTATATTTAGATGTTTCTAAATGGCCCAAGAAGGATGGGTTTTTCTCCCTTCCCCACTGACCCCAGCGGGCAAGGGGGCTCTTCACAAATTCCACAAGGGGCTCCCTCCTTGATCACTGTTGTGTTTCTGTGACTCCAGGCCTGTCTTTTAGCAGCTTGACAGCAATGGTAGCTGGTGAGAGACCAACAGTAGGTAGAAGCCGATTCTTGCTTTGTCCCCATCTTCCTCCCTGCTGAGTCCTACAGGACTCCTTCACACTTTGTTTGCCCCATGCCTAGAAAGCACAGGTCTAGCTAGTTTTCTGCTTGTTGTCTGCTTTCGGCTCAGGACCAAATGGTCTTCTGTTTGCGCCACCGCTTTCCCCGGGAAAACAGTCTCTTTACTGAATTGGAGCAAACATCAATCTGTGGACAAACTGGTTGACATTCCTGGGTTTTTATATTATTATTTTGGTCATTCAGAGGTCACAGTGTGTCCCTAGAGATCTCTGCACTCAGCTCACCTCTGCATAGTGGGCAGGTCCCACTATTTGTTTATATAATCCTCACACTCAAAGACAGAGTTGACTAGAACAGGGATTTTTCCAGGTGTTATCCATATAAGTATTGTGCTGGTCTCAATTTCGATTCATTCTAGTCTAAACAGCAAAGGTAAGGTAAAGGACCCCTGGATGGTTAAGTCCCGTCAAAGGCGACTATGGGGTTGCGGCGCCCATCTTGCTTTCAGGCCAAGGGAGCCGGTGTTTGTCCACAGACAGCTTTTTGGGTCATGTGGCCAGCATCTGGTGCAACAGAACACCGTGACGGAAGCCAGAGCTCATGGAAGCACCGTTTACCTTCCCGCCACAGCGATGTCTATTTATCGACTTGCACTGGTGTGCTTTTGAAGGGCTAGGTTGACAGAAGCTGGGACAGAGCAATGGGAGCACACCCCATTGTGCCATCAACCTTCCGATTGGCAAGCCCAAGAGGCTCAGTGGTTTAGACCACAGTGCCACCCGCTTCCTAGCAGACTGAGGAGGTGAAGTGGGTGAGCACAGGCAGACCTGTTCGTATTAAGAGTCCCAAATATTGTTACAATAGTACTCTTTTTTAAAAAAAAATCCTCTCAAGGTTGGCATGCAACCTATTTTGGTACAAATTAAATGCAAGTCTCTGGTGCTTGTGGGATTTAAGGGAGCAGGAAAGGCCTGTCACCTTGGCCCCCCTTGTGTGGTGTAGTGGTTAGAGTATTGACCAGAACCTGGGAGACCTGGGTTCAAATCCCCACTCAGCCATGAGGTACCTTTGGAGACCTCGGGTCAGTCACTGCCTCTTAGCCTAAACTACCTCACAGGTAGTTCAACTCCTTGGAAGAAAGGTAGGATATGTAATAAATAAATACCCCCAAGAGTAAGGGTGGGGAGGAAAGAACAGCCAGTGAATGGGTCTTTTGCTTCCTTCATGGACTACCAAAGGCAGTGGTGTCTGTTGCCGTTCTGAGCCACCATTTCTTCTGATCTCATACAGCAGGAATGGTGAATCTGTTGCTTTATCTATTGTAGGGCTGGAAGGGACCCTAGTGCAGGAATATGCAACTGCCCCATACAGGAATCGAACCTGCAACTTTGGTGTTATTGGACTCCAGCTCACATCAGCCCCAGCCAGCACGGGGATGATGGGAGTTGTAGTTCAGGAACACCTGGAGGGTTATAGCTCATCCCCGCTCACAACTCCAACCACTATATAGAATGCAGGAAAGAGCCACGGGTAAATTGGGGAGGGAGAATTAGTACAGCTCCTTTAAGACTCATCCTGGCACTTGGAATTTCTGCAATTATTTCGCAAAACAGACTTCGAAGGATTTGCTGTCCGCTGCTATGTCTCTAAAGGAAGAAGTTCATGCAAAATGTTTTCGGGAAGCTGCGGGCTGCAAAAGGACTTTAAAAACATAATGATGTGGGCATCAGTGCCCAGTGAGACAAAGCAGAGAGTTTTGGGCACTGCTTGTTCTGTACATGATCACACTGTCCTACATTTGCTGCACTAACTACTAGAGCCAATCTCTGCCAGGTTTTCTCTTTGTAGAATGCTATGTATGCGGTGGAGGAGGAAAGATGTTTCAAGATATAAAATAGCTGCATAGCGTCTGCTTATAATCAGAGGTAGCGTCCAAATTCAGAGAGCAGTAGAGTGAGGTTGGGCACTGTTTTGGGGGAGAGGAGTGTTGCATGTTAGGGAGTGCTGCAGTAACCCTATGAGTCTGGGTGGTTGTTTTTTTTAAAAAATACAGTGTGTGTAAAGATAGATAGCTGGGTAAGAAAGAAGGACACATGTATCTGTTGTGTGTATTACAGTGACTAACAAAAAAAGAGAGATTAATTTCTGATAGCAAAATGCCTTCCTCAGCTGCTCTGCCATGAATCAAAGGGTCCTGCCAACAGATGGTTTTTAAAGCATCAAACAGCACTTCAGACAAGTTTGTGCTCTGGGATCCTGGAAAGATGCAGGCTGTTGTTGTTGTTGTTTATAAATATTTTTAATTAATTAGGCAAGAATTTCAATCACATTCAGGAATAAATAAATAATGGGGGGAAATGCAGTTGAATGAAAATGAAAATTAAACACACACACATATACAGCGCGAATTTGGGTCGTTTCATACACATATTTTCCCTGGAAAAATAATCGTCTTCTGTATCTGTGATCTCTGCAATGTTATTTGGAACTGAAGCAAGTTATCTTGGTTTAAATGGGTATCTCTGCCAGCTCCAGCCACTGTGCGTGGGATTGAAGATTAAGACATATAAGGAGTGAATATGGCTTTTGTGGAGCATTATAAAGTCATGATTTTCTACAGTACATGCATCCATACACGGGTTTTCTTCTGTGGCACAATCACCATAATTAAAAAAATAAAACACATATGGCAAGTCAAAGAGAGAAGGGGAGAGCCTCATTCCTTGAGTTGCCTGTCTCCCTGTCAATGTGCTGTTAAAGCTGGAATGCTCCCAGTCATTTCCTTTGCTTTACAGCAGTGGTTTGGGAAGTGGTATGGAAGTTTTACTTAATCACAAACTTGGCAGAAGGCAGGAGACACCACATGGAAAGTCCTTTCCCTCCAACTTGCTAGCCTTACTCTTTCTAGACCAATGGTTCCAATTAGCCAAGAACTGCAGACTCCAAAACTTGGAAATTAATCAATAGCCAACTGGAATGCTCTATTGATTAGATTTAGATCTGGAAGAAAGAACATTGGTTTCTTTGTGTGTAAATGTAGACATAACCAAACAATTACCGTACATGTAATGGACATGATGTAGGGTTAGACTTAGGCTGCAATCCTAACTACAGTTTCCAGGACTACTTACTTCGCTGTGTAAACATGTGCTGATGCTGAGCACTTTGTGGATCAATCAGGCCCTATTACTGTAATTAGTGACCAGCTTTATGAAATGTGTGACCTTGTGAAACATTTAGAACTGTGCAGCAACCATCTCCCCCCCCCCTCATTTTATTTGGCAATATGGAAAGACTTTTAATTAAAATTAAGTAAAAACATATGCCCTGGACCTCTGCGGATAGAACATTTAACAACGTCATGAACCCCAAACCACTGCCAAGTTTCATCTTTTCAGCTTGTCTGGTAGGCAAAAATTTAGTTACAACACCTTTTAT